CCCAACCCGCCCAGCAATGTTGAGGCCACGGTACAGAGGCGTGTGCCTTAACTCTGCGAGGGGCCAAGAGGAATCCCTCTTGGCTGTTGAGGGCATCTTCCCGGCGCCGACTCCCAATCCCTCCTGGGGTTTGTGGCGGATCGACTCCCAAAAACCCCCGGGGGGGTTATTTTTTCATTTTCATTTTCATTTTATTAATTATTTTTTATAAGGGGAACAACTCCCAAACCCTTTGAAGGTTTTGGAGGTCCGACTCCCATGGACGTCCAGAGGAGTGTCCACAGATGGTCCTCTTGACGTCCCAGAAATTTGGGAGTCGGAACTTCAATTTCTGGGAGCCGTTTAACTAAGACCCATTATTTAATGGGGCTTGGAAAAACGACTCCCAAATTTTAGTCGACGACTCCCGTACTGGTTGGGAGGTCGTCGGACGGGAGTCGTTCTTCCAATTCCTGAAAAAACATAGGGAGTCGTTGCACTAATTTTACCTGGAGATTTTCTATTTTTTTTATTAAAAAAATAGGGAGTCGTCTGACTAAAGTGCGGGAGTCGGTGCACCAATTCTGCCTAATTTTTTGCACTTTTTTATATTTAAATTGAAGGGAGTCGTCCACCTAATACGAGGGAGTCGTCCCACCAATTCCGCCCAATGTTTTGCCTTTTTTTCTATGTTAAAAAAAGACGGGAGTCGTCCAACTAGAAATGGGAGTTGTCGCCATATGGCAGGCACCCTCAGAGACTCCAAAAAATGGTTGAGCCACTGAGGCCCCACCCCAAAGGCAATTTATCAATGATAAAAAAATTAGACTGATTGAGAAAAACCATTGCAAGAGATAAAAGAGATGACAAACGGGCCAAAAACATTCAAAAATGATCAGAAATGTAAGAAAAAAAACAGGGTAAAAAAGGACATAGAGGAAAAAAATCAAAAACTAAAAAGACACAGGATAAAAAAAAATCCCTAGTAGTGTTTCATTGGATTTTCTATTTTCCTCTCTACAGTCAATTCAAAAGAATCAGAAAATTGGGCTTCCCATCCCCAAGCCTCTTCTGACGCCTTTTCTTTCCACGCCTTCATGAGCTGAGGGGCAGCAAACAGTCTTGGGTTATGTAACTGCAAGGGGACAAAATGAGAAAATTCATGTAGAAAAGCAATAAAAATAGGGGCGTTGTCATTGGGGGGGCAGAAAGAAGGAAGAAAAGTCTGGCAAAAGGTGTCAGAAAAAAAGCAAACAGGCCTCTCAAAGGCGTTTGTCATTACCTCACCCGTTGAAGGCATGGACATCCAATGAGGCTTTGAACAAGGTGATGGCGAATCAACCTTGATACGATCCAAAGCGCCGCGGAGTTTGTGGAACATGTTTTGATACCAATCAGGCCGGCGAACAATTTCATTGTACAATTCATATCGAACCGCCATATAATCGCCCTGCCCATTTCCCAATGCGTAAGCCACAGCTCGGAATCTGCAGTGTCCATCTGATCGAACATCCAAAATATCCCGGACATCAGGTTGAATAATTTTGGGTAAGTACTGAAGGTAATCGAGATCGGATGGGGGTTAGATGGACATGGGGGAGGGTCTAGAAGCACCAATGGGGCCGGTTCGGTGGGAGTGATGGGGGACGAGGGCATGGAGGCATTGGCAGAGGAATTGACTTTGACCTTTTTATTGTTGGCTTGAACGGGGGAGGAGGGAGGGGAGGATTCAGGGGCGGTTGCTTTCATGTTCTTCTTGTGGACGACGACAACTGGTTTGGTGGCTCCTTTCCTGACTGGTTGAATCCTCTTCTTTGGGGCCTCTTCTTCCTTCCTCTTCTTTGGGGCCTCTTCTTCCTTCTTCTTTTTGCTGCCGTCCTTCTTCTTTTTTTCCTGCTCTTTCTTCTTCTGATTATCTTCTTTGGTCTTCCGTTAGTTTCCTCTTTTTGGCAATGTGTTCAAATTCTGACGGGTCCCGCGTTGTTGATTTGGGTTTGTTCAGAGCTCCTTTGGGTCTACCTCGAGTTGATTGCACCTGCTTTGGTAACTGAAGGTCGACAACGGTGGAAGAGCCGTCCAGAAGTCGAGAGATGGCGTCAAGCTGTATGGTTAACGTGCTCGGGTTTGTTTGGAGGAGCCTTTGCTTGACGGATTCAATCTGGTCTAGGGCTTGTGGGTTGTTTTGTCCTGGATTGTTTGTCGGTTGGATATCCTGTTGTTGATTAAAAGTGTTGTGTTGTGAGAATGAATTCGAACAATGAATCAAACAAAACACACACTCAGCAGTTCTAGGCCGGTGTCTGGTGAGTCTGAGGGTAACCCAGTTACTGGGTTACAACAAAAAGGAAGCACAATGTTATTAAGGACTCTAAGAGTAGAAAAATTAACCATAATTAACAACCATACGTGGATATGCCATTGTTGATGAAAGTCTTCTGGTTCCAACTGTCCACCTGACCAAGCCAACTCTGCTAGGCAATGTTTACACGGAATACCTGTCCGGAGTCGATGAAAGTCGTTACAATGATCATTCTTCCCGAGGGTTGCAGATATGCGCAGGTTGTTTTGTGCCTTCCTCAGATCAAAATGGGTGATCCGGCCAAGGCAATTGTCAAACAGGGAACCGAGATTCATGAGAGTGTCCATTTTTTCCTGGCGGTGGAGGGAGCTTATGTTGTGTACTTGGGTTTCAATGGCGTTGGTGATCATTTTGATGGTCAAGTTGAGGGATTGATTGGGACCAAGGAGATGTGATTTGACAAAGGAGTGTGAAGATTCGATCCAAGATGTCGTCCGGTGATTGAAATGGGGCACTTCCCTCGTCCAGGCGTTTGCATATTTCTCCGCAACTGGGAGCCAGTTTGAGCGCATGTAATTGCCAAATTTCTCGCCATAACTTCCAGCGAATCGGTCAAAGGCGGCCCTGAAGTCACCGGTGGTCGTGATTTTGATGATATTCTTCCAGTGTTGAATCATTTCAGCCTCCTTCTTCTTGTCCTTGATCATTTTTGCCCCGTTAGAAATCAGGTTTTTGTTGATGTGCCAGGTACACAGTAGATGAGTCACGGTGGGGAAAGCGGAGTCGAGACCATTCATAAGGGCTTGTTCCCGGTCGGTCAGGACTACCTCAGGGATAGGAATATCATTGCTAGTGAACACGTTGAGCAGAGATTCAAGAGCCCATTTGTAGTATTCTTCAGTTTCTTCGTGAAGGAAAGCAAAGGCGACACTGAAGGATTTGTTGGATCCAGTGACGCCAGCAATGTGGAGGAGGGGCATGCAATACTTATTTGTCTTGTAGGTGCAATCAAGGAATAAGATTTAGTGGAAATGACAGAGGAGGTGAATCGAGTGGTTGTGACAGAAGAAAAGAACTAGAATCTTGCCAGAATCGTTTACCATGGTTGCTGAGGTGAAGTCTGTCGTGAGGGTTTGATTAAGATGAACAATAGGGCTGAGTCCACGTGCCTCTTCTGCCCAAGCCTTCTTTCTGGCAGAGTACACAGTTGAAATGGTGGTCAAGTGGCAAGATTGACTGATCGGGATGTGTCTTCTTGAGTGATTGGAGAATCTGAGCTGGTTTTAAACCCGCGTCACCTAGTTTCTTCATTTGCTCATAGACCTCCTTCGTGATTTTTTGGTTGGCAGTGTGCCCAGAGGGATCTTTGCTGGGTGCATGATTATGTTGGGTATTGGCCACGGTAAACTTCCATTCCCCCCCGGCCTTCATCTGGATCTGGGCCCTTGCGTTGAATGGGCAATCGATCAGTTGACTGACAATGGGTCCGGGGTGTGTGTCATTTTTCCGTTTGTTCCGAGCTGGGTTACCACCCCTACACATAAGATGGAGAAAAAGGACGGCC